TCCATACGACACTGGGGTACAACGTCAATCTGCCGTCATGTTGATGTCCTGTGCCTGCAGGGCTTGTTGAAAAGTTTGAAGAGAAAGTGACTTTTATTGTCATTATTAATCATGTTCAGTGCTGTATTGTCTGGGTTGGTGTTGTATATCACGCTGCAGAGCCATGCCAGTATATTTCCTGTTATTGTACAGACTTATTCCTCTATTATTAAAGTACAGTCATCACCCTTTCAGTCCAACTTCATCACATTAGAAACATGATTTAACAGAAGTGTGAATAATCTAAACCTCTCACACAATCTCCAGTGTGTTTCTGTCTGGTGCTTTAGACTTTAGGACAGAGGTGTCCAAACTCGGTCCTGGGCGGCCGGCGTCCTGCAGATTTTAGCTCCAACTTGCCTGCAAGGATGTTTCTAGAAAGCCTAGTAAGAGCTTGATTAGCTAGCCCAGGTGTGTCTGACTGGGGTTGGAACTAAACTTTGCAGGACACCGGCCTTCCAGGACCCAGTCTGGACACCCCTGCTTAAGGCTCTGATAATATTTCAATGTGAACTACATTTATGAAGAGCCTGATCATGAGGACGGTTCATTTCCAGAACCTTTACTTTCTCTATTCCTCAGCGGTGAATCATCTTCTACAGCCTCTAAAATATCTTTAATCATTTCTATCCAGATCCTGAACTTCCCTCTTTATAATATTAGCTGATTTACATATTCAGACTGTTAGTTTATGCTTGTTACCTTTATATATGTCGTATATTTGTCTGGTGTGTGTCTGCCTTAAGCGACTGTTGTAGCTGTGTAATAACTCTGATCATTCAGCGGAGTGATATGGAGCTGTAATGCGCTCTAAACCTGCCGGAACTACTTTAGCTGAGCCTTTATCTGACAATAACCAAACACCTGAGAGTGACCATCAGCCAATCAGAATCCAGCAGTGAAGTATGAACACTTTTGATTTTATTGAGGCATATTCAGTTTGATTGTAAGTTCTCTAACGCAGTAGGAGTGTAGTGTGTAAATAACCTCGATGGTTTATTGGTTAAGCCATCATCTTGTAGAGTTAACCGCTGTGGTTTTCAGCAGTGATTTTAGCTGTGGTCTGGATTTTCACCTGTGTTGGATGGGAAAGGCTTCACTGCACACCTCAGCCCTCAGGTACAGCCGCGTCTACATCTACAGCCTGACCCAAATCCACAGAGGATACTATAAACACACGTTTGCTGATGCTGGAAGCCCCTCATCCTGACTGTAAGCCTATGCTGAAGTCTGATTTGAGTGTTGCTCCAGGGTCAATAAGAGCATTGATCTGGAACACACAATCAGTCAGTATAAATGCTCTGGATTTGTCTCCCTCTGCTGGATGATTACAGTAAATATAGAGTTTGTTTCTCCCTTCTGGATGAGTAATTACAGTAACTGCTCTGCTGTTTATCTCCCCCTGCTGGACGGTGTTCAGACACCATTAAACTTTCAGTGAAAGTTTGAAGTGACTATTTTAGAATTTCATAAGGATGCTTTTACAGTAATGATAATGTAATTTAATTAGAATATAATCAGTTAAACAGACTTAAGCATTCATTTGGTTGTTCAAGTGTAAAGCAAGATGAAATGCTGTTTAAGTGTGAGCACCGTCACTGAAACTCCATTGAAAATACCAAGATCAAACAAATTACCATATATTTAGATTCCACTTGGCGCAGGAATTTAATGCAGTGCTTCTTGTCCGGTATAAAACCCACTGTATATTGTACATCACTCAGGCAGTGAAGATCATTGTTTTTTTTAAAGAAAAAATACCTTAAACACTGCCATTTTATCACTCAGGCTGGGCTACTGAAAAGTCCCTGTGCATGAACCCCAATATACAAACTTTGTTCTGTTTGTCTCCCCCTGCTGGATGATTACAGTAAATGTTGTAGAGTTTGTCCCCCCTGCTGGATGATTACAGTAAATGTTGTAGAGTTTGTCCCCCCTGTAGGATGATTACAGTAAATGTTGTAGAGTTTGTCTCCCCCTGCTGGATGATTACAGTAAATGTTGTAGAGTTTGTCCCCCCTGTAGGATGATTACAGTAAATGTTGTAGAGTTTGTCTCCCCCTGCTGGATGATTAAAGTAAATGTTGTAGAGTTTGTCCCCAACTGCTGGATGATTACAGTAAATGTTGTAGAGTTTGTCTCCCCCTGCTGGATGATTACAGTAAATGTTGTAGAGTTTGTCTCCCCCTGCTGGATGATTACAGTAAATGTTGTAGAGTTTGTCTCCCCCTGCTGGATGATTACAGTAAATGTTGTAGAGTTTGTCTCCCCCTGCTGGATGATTACAGTAAATGTTGTAGAGTTTGTCTCCCCCTGCTGGATGATTACAGTAAATGTTGTAGAGTTTGTCACCCCCTGCTGGATGATTACAGTAAATGTTGTAGAGTTTGTCTCCCCCTGCTGGATGATTACAGTAAATGTTGTAGAGTTTGTCTCCCCCTGCTGGATGATTACAGTAAAT